GGGTTCATGCCCTTCTTCTGCCTCAGCCTCCCAAGTAGTTGGGACTACAGGCGCCCACCACCACGTTGGGCTAATTTTTTGTATTTTTAGTAGAGACAGGGTTTCACCATATTAGCCGGGATGGTCTCGATCTCCTGATCTCGTGACCCACCCACCTTGGCCTCCCAAAGTGCTGGGATTACAGACGTGAACCACCGCTCCCGGCCGTAAATGTGATTATTATAAAACTAACATGAAACACCTATTCTGACAATTTGTAAATGTCATGAATTTTAAACCCACATAACTGAGAAGCCATTCGCTTCCATGTCTTTATCCTGCACGTTCTCATGCCACAAGCAGCCTCCTTCCCCTGTCTTAGAAGTGACTCCTGATCTCCCACCAAGTTCCCACTGCCTTCTCTTCCGGCCACTCGCCTTCCAGACCCACTGCAGTGGTGTCTGAGTGTGGGGTGAGGGCACGGGTTTCCTTCTAGCACCATCCTCCAGCCCACCTGTCTTCCCACTTTCCCCTTGGGGCTGCTCTCTCTTTCCCTCAGCATCAGGCAGGTGTACCCAGCCACCGGAAGGAGGGAAGAAACAGGAGCAGAAGCAGCTCCAGGCATGTGGTTCCTACTCTGTCCTGGCTGTCTGACCCCAAACAAGTCGCTTGGTCTTTGGAGTCTTTTTTTCACTGTAAACTAGGGGTTTTAGATTCAGATTCCTGAAGGTCTTATTTCGGGCGAGCGCAGAGGCTCCCTGAATGCTCCTGGGTGTGTGTGAGCTGAGTGAGTTGACAGCCTTGGGCACCCATTCCTGCCGTATGCCAGGGAATCCCAGCGCATCCAGCCTTTCTCCCAGCCACATGTCCTGTTTCTCACCTCCTTCTAGTCCTCTCCAGCACCCATCCCTTGCTTTCCGCACTCACCATCTTGGGTCTCCTGGGGGACAGCAGGACCCAGAAACAGCAGCAGAAACAGCAGGACAGGCACCATTCTTATCATCGTGTCTGCTTGGAGGGTTCTGGGCAGGAGGCACAGGTATTATCCTGGGTCCTGGGGCCCTGCCCGGGGGAGGTGAATCTACAGGCCAATGGGAGTGCCAGGACAGGCTCCTCGCCTGACAGTGAGAAAGAAGTATGCACAAGACAGGCTGGGCAGAGATTGTGATCAGTGAGTTTACATACAGGTTATACAAATGCAGAGCTGAGACGGTTGTTCTCTGGACGGAGGCTTTGTGTGTGCCTGGGGCGGAAGGATGCCAGTGGGTGGGAGGTGTGTGTGATGGGTGGCAGATGCCTGGGATGTGTCGCCCTTCCAGTCTATTATGACACCCTCTGGGGTCACTTGAGTGTTGTCAAACCAGACTTCATCCCTGCCTTCTGGAAAAAGCCTCAACATGTCCAGGACGTGGACCTGGGTAGACCCCAGCTGGGGCGGGACCCTCACTCTTCCACACCCGATCCTGCCAGAGCTGTCTGGAGGACATTCCCATTCCCATCTCTCCCTCTTTCCTTTCTGTGCCTGTGGAACCCCAGTCTTCCATGATCAAAGGAGAAATAGTTGCATCCTCCTTTTGCAGTCTCCCTGGCAATAGAATAAGCAGGTGTGCACGGGGTTTATGCTCAGCAAGCCTAAACCTGTGGGGAAAAGAAAGAGATCAGCCTGTTACTGTGTCTATATAGAAAGAAG